TGAGTGAAACAAATAAACTGGGTCAGCCAAGAAAAGAAACAAGCACATGAAGGTGAGCCATGGTCCACAGGATGCTGAAGATGTCTGTTATCTGTTCAGTCAGCCAAAACCCTTCTAGCCTGGACACCACTGGTCTGCACCTGGATTGCATGAGCTGCTGATCTGCTTGCCTGTCAGTGGTAAAAAGTAGTCTTATTTTTGGAGACCACAATTCAGTAGTTCAGCTTTTACTCTAATTTGCTGCATTTGCAGCAGACTTTTGTAAAAGCCTTTTGTGTGTCTGTCTTAAAATGTGGAAAAGAGGGGCTATTTTTCTAATTCAAATAGACACCGTGCAAGGTGTGTGGAGGAGTACAGATTAATGATGCCAAGGACTCAATTAATTTTCCCACATATGGGTGCCAGGTGCCACTGGAGATGTCCAAGGGAGATCATATGATCCAGAGAGCTGCAGGACTGGCTGATTGAAGCACAGGATCAGGGTGTTCCAAAGGGGCAAATTGGGGGTAGCCACGATGCCCTAGAGCATCTCACATGGTCCATATGGCTGAAAGTGATGCGGAGGGAGGAGATCACCTCATCTATCTATAAATGTCTGTATCTGAGCAAACTGCCTTGGCTTTTTTTTTTTTAAGACTGTGAAGAGAAGCAGGTGCATGTAGATCACAGCTTTCACAGCTTCTCTGCCCTATTTTAGGGTGAGAGAAATATTCCCCAAAAGACCTGTTTCTCTTCATTGATTAGACGGGAAGCTCAGATGTGGGGTAACCTAGCTAAAACTGGAATTTCTCAACTGCAAGAGCGTAATGTCATCTGAGCAGTATTTTCCAGGGATGGCCATAAAGGTGAAGGCTCCTTTTTATGTTCCCCTTCTAGCTGAAGAAAGGCTTGTGGAGACACAAGCTCAAGGTGTCACATTTGTCAGAGTAGATGCCTAGATGAATCCTGCCTTTGCATTCACTCAGATGAATACTGCCTTAGGCTTGGGCTAAGCCTGGGGCAAGAAAATAGTGCCAAGAGGAATAAAGATTTGCAAGGGAAGAAGTGCTGCTGGAGTGTCTGAGGTCCAGCATTATAAATTAAAGGAGTGAGTGTTCTCACTCTGTAGTTCTAAGTGGTATGTGAGCTCATCCACACTCTTTAGGGTGGGAAGCTTATGAGAAGGAAAAAAGGACAGGAAAAAAAGACAGGAAACTCACAAGCAAAGTGAAGTTTGGCTGCTCTTGAATGTCTGTGTTCTCACCCTTCCAAAGGTTTGGGTGAAAGTTCAGAGTAAATCAGCTTTCTTAATGAATCATTTAGTACTTACAAAATAGTAAAATATCTCACAGCATTAACTTAGCAGTGACTAATGCTCTATAAAAGATTTTTTCATGTATGGATATCTCATGGAATATTTATCATAGCCCCACAAGTTGCTGGGTCATCACTTTTATGATGAACCTCCAGAGTCTCTCATCACAGATGGGTATAAATCAGGAATACTGTCAAAAGGAGGGCCATAATCCATTCCTCCCTGTGTGGGAGGGTTACAATGTTATTAAAATATTAAGTGTGTAATATTTCACAGTCGGGAACTTGGAAAATTAGCCTTGAGTCTTCATCAAGAATTTAGTGATGAGGAAGTGTCCACTTCATTTCACTTACTAAGAAAAGGAATGAATTTCCTTTCATTAAGGCTCCTAGTCTGGAGTGTTGCTGCATTCTCACTGTGGAGGTTTAGTTGGAGAAGTTTAAACTGAAACTCAGTAGTTAATTGCACACACTCCCCTGGTTTACTCCCCAGGGTTTACTAGAGAGGAGAATCATAACACTCCTACTCCAGCATGACTCCTGGGCAGCAGAGATCAATGTAAAGACACACATGTGAGGCTCACATCAGCCTTTCTAGTTGAGGGTTTCCTTGGAAAACTTGCAGTTGTACCATGCCTCAGTTTCCCTACATGTTGTATGAGAAAACACAGAAAAAAAATTGAGGTCTAGGGTTCATTGCATAACTTCTCAAGGTTTTCTGTCACCTGGATATACAGGCAATTTTTTTTGTCTGTGTAAATATTAATTTCTGAGATACTTAAAATTCAAACTTTCTCTGTTTTTCAACTAAAGGAATTCCCATATCTCAGAAGAGTGGTCCTGAAACTATTGGCCTTGATAGAGTTCAGGAAGTCAGGTAAGAATCTCTACAATTAGATAATTTCTCAGTGAAGTGTTAATTCAGTCCAGTTCAGAGGATGATGCAGATTTACCCACTCACCATCCCAAAAAGTAGGCTGGGAGCATGTGTCATCCCAAAATTTTTCTTGGCCTCCTAGTTATATACAAGATGAACTGTGTTGTAAAATGATTTCCTGTGACCTCTCCCCTTATAAATCAATTTTATGAACAGTTTTCCTGCCAAACTCAGATCAGCAGCAGCAGCAGAAGATATTCAGAGCTAGAGGGAGTCACTTGGTCATGGCTGTTACCAGCTCTCAGGTTAAAGGGAATAGTGATGCTCTTTCCTTCCACTCTGACTGAGGCATCCTGGCTCTCTTCCTTGATTTCTCAAGAATGACTGTCAAGTGAGGGGACTATGGGGCTGTCATTTCCTGGAGCTGCCCCCAGACAGTGGGGCCAGCTTTGCAGCACTTCCCCCATCTGCTCCTGGCTAAGAGGGGCAGTGAGAGCTCAGGTGCCACCCAGCTCCAGACAGATTCCTCAATGGAAACATCTCCAGCAGAGGAGTCTGGCTGGGAGCAACCTGCAGAAACCCAGCACAGATGAGGGAGGCTGGAAGGGGCTCAGCTCACCCACTCTGCTGTGCCAGCCCCACAGAGATGCTCCTGGAATTTCAGGTACCTTTAGGGGTCTGTGTGGGCACAATTCAGACCTGGGTCTCTGTTCAGTATGGGAGTGTAGACATCAAGAGCACACTACAGGCATCCAAATGTCTGCTTTTGAAGCTGAATCATTGCCCTGGGGCTCAGTTCATGTGCCTAAATACAGGCTGCTAGTGCCATCTAGATGCTCTGAAGAATGTCTGAGGACCTTTGAGAATGCCACATCCTTCTGGACAGTCAGTGGAGGTCAGGCTGGATACCCCAAGGTAGCTCTTGTGGCTCAGAGATGAATGGTACCCCCAGCATGTTTGGTAAGTGGAGTCAACACTAAAGCCAGTTGCAGAGCTATTCCTAAGTTTTCTTTGTGACAGATTTGAGCCCTTTCATGTTTTAGGCACTGTGAATTTAGTTACATGTATTCGCATATAAAGAATTCATTTATTCTCCACAGGAGAAGTTGAAAGCACTAGTCTGTGCACAACAGATTGGTAAAAATGAACTATTTCCTTTGGGTGTAAAAAAAAAAAATACCTTCATTAGAAATCAAAAAGGTTTCCAAAAAAATGTTAAACTAATAACATCCCTTTTCCCTCATCATGTCTCTTTTCTTTGTCTCGCCCTTTCTTTTTCAGTGATGAAAAGGAACCAAAAAGAACAGGAAACAGATGCTGGGATCACAGGAGAAACCACAGAGCTGCTGATAAAATGAGGAGGGGAAACTGTGGGAAGCAAATGCTTCTCTAAACCCTTCAGATCAATCACAACAACAAAAGTTTCCTTCCAGAGCCCACTGAATTCACAGCAGTGACTTCACCTGTCGGCTTGCTTTGTGAAAATAATTTTTTCAAGAAAGTTTCAGCTACTTTAAGGCTCAGCTAAAACAACATTCAGCCAAACTGATCTCTACCAACCACCTAAATGTGATTTCCAGTGTCAAAGGCAGCTCTACCTTTTGCTACAGAAGTCATTTGGTCACAGCTATTATTTATGGACATTGCAGCAAACCAGAAAGGGACTGTCCATTAAACAGGCAGCTCCCAAATAATGGCTTTTACAGTCATAGCAGCACAGATGCCAGTTGTGGGTTGTCAGCCACTGGTCCACAAAGCACTCATGACTTTATAGCCAGTGAGCTCTATCAGGCTGCTTTCTCCAGCTTAGCACCAAGACTTCTCTACCTCCCTTTGGTATCTTCAAGGAAAAAACATATCCTTGAATATATCACAAATACATCAGCAGGTGAAGCTCATTTAAAGAACTTAATAGCAAGGAAAATTATTTACAGCCATTTTTGAAGCTTTCCACCAGCTGGCAAGTACCAAAACAGTACCAAGCCACAGTACACACATCCAAAGGCAGGATGCTCACATTTTTGTTGCAAACTTCATTTTCTTCTAGTTTGTCACAGGAAAGCTTCCATACTCCAGTGTTTTTGTTCTGCAAATGCCCATTGCATTGCAGATTGCATGTCTGCTCTCTGCTCTGAGGGAACGTGGATGTGAGGGAGGTTAAGGACCTGCTACCACATCCTGTGGTTTCTCAGAGATCTCTGGTAACAGAACCTGGAGTCTCAAAACATGGTCTCTGTTTCCAGCCTCTCTACAAAGGCATCTGATCAGAGGTCACTATGCACTTAATTAGTCACTTAAAAGGGGAAAATACCTCAGTATATACTGAAACATACAAGAGGAAATATGTATGAGTAATAGAGACCTAATGTAAAATGAACGTGGGAGTGCCAGTAAAAGGCAAAACAAACTCTGATGCTATCAATTAGCAATTAGCAATAACCACAAGCCAAGAAAGAAATACATAAATGAAGTTGTTGGCTATTTGTTAGTTCAGAAAATGCCACATCCCCTTACAAGGCTTTCTCCTTAGAGTCATTAGTTTTCCCTTTGCAAACAAATGAGTGATGAGGCAGACTGAAAAACATTGTGTTCCATTCAAGAACAAGTGGTTGGAATTTACAAGTAGGCAAGGTGAAGGGGAGAAATGAACATTGCTGACAGGAGGGCTACTCCTAAGTTAAGGAGTGGAGAACACAACACATAGCTTCTTCTTGAGATCTAGCAAGGCCTTGGTCCAGAGAAAAACAAAACCGGGACTATAATAAACAAAATTATTTAGTTCAGATCTAGATAGGAAATGAAGCAATGCACTTGCAGAAGCATTTTTTACCTAATTCATGCTGAAGTTTTCAGAATCTGTGTCCACTTCTTTCCCCAAGATCCATAGTCTTGATCCTGCAAATAAGAATTGCCTTGATCTGACTGCACTTAGTAATGACTCCTAAAAGTCTAGTTCTTCTGATGTGTTTTGAAAAACTAGTATTAAGTCAGTCTTAAATTGTGTTTCATGTCCACTTCTTTCAGGAATTAGTTAATTCACAGGTTACTAGAATTTACTGCTCATTATTTGGGAACTATTTACTTAAGGTACAGTCCCTGTCCCTGGTTATAATATAAAGGGCTTCTATAGCCAACAATGGATCTGCCTTTGACACTGGAAGTCACATCCATGATTTCTGATTTGTCTCAAACATGCAAAAAGTTTCAGACTCAGATCTCATGTTCCTCCTTCTGATTTCTCAGTAGCACACAACCTGGCCAATAAATTTCTTTGAAACATTTTGGTTAAAAAACCCCAAACAACTAACAAAACAAACAAGACAAAAAAAGAAAACCAAAACAAAAAAATAGAAGATAAAAATTACTACTCAGAGAAGTTACTTTATTGTGAGAAAAACCCAAAGTTTCTCAAATAAAGGCACTATTACACAAAGGCAGTGAATCTAAAGGAAAACACTGTGTCTGGATCTCTGCATAACAAATAATGGATTTGTTCTTTGTTCAAAAATCCTTTGTCCTGCAATGACTTTAATTCTCAGAAAGAGAGCTGAGTTTATATTATACTAAATTTAAAAGCTATAAAATCAGATGTTCCCTGATGTACTTTCTGTATGTTATCCCAAGTCAGGTTTAATTGGCTGTGAATATAGCAGTGTGACAAAACCTGCACTATATTATGTCATAGTAATCCTTCTGTGAGAAAATAAATATTGTGCTGCTGTTAAAGAGGATCTTATTCATGGAAATAAAAACAACCAATAAAACATTCTCAGCCATGCATACAATTTAAGAACTCCTTGAATTTACTAATGAAAAAGAGTAGACTATCATAATACAACTTATGCTTCAATTTCATCAGACCTTTTCTTTAAACTACAGAGATTAAGCTCAGCAGAACCTCTGGAAGTCTGCTACCTCAGAAGTAGTGTTTGTCTCTGATCTCAGTGTACAGGTACATGCCTCAGGATATTTCTGCTAGCCAGGAGGAGAAGAACACAGGGCTGGCAGGAATTCCTTGGGACAGCACAGCACAAGAAGTCCACAGATGATTGTCTCCTACTTACTGTTTTCTGCCACCTACATCTGCTCATGAGAACGACCTGCTTCTTCCAAAGAGACTGAGGTGCAGCTGCTAGGAAGTTTTCTGCCAAAATCTCATTTTGATGTCAAACTGGGTTTCAATCTACCAAGGAGACATTCTTCCCAATGTTCTCAATTTCTGCCACTTTGGGACTGAAAAATTTTCAGGTTTGGAGGAAAAAAAAAGTTTATTTTGGTTGGCAGAATTCACTACCCTGCTTTTTTCCATACAATAGACTCTGAGCCACTCAGGAGATTCTGGTGACAGTGTCATCTTGTCTGCACCACAATTACTCTCAGTGAGTCCCCAAATTCTGGCTGGGACCCAAAGAGGTAAAAGTAAGTTATACCCAAAAAATCAATGAAAGACTCAATGACAGAACCAGGTTTTTTGATTCCAGTTCTTTTCCAGATCACTTTTGTCCTAATAATCTTCCAGATGATTTCCTAATAAGCACAGCAGTGCTTATGTGTGGACATTTGAAGATTGTGCTGTCTAAACTGACATTATAATATAATCCCATGGTTGGAACACTAATACTCTTAATTAGCTTCTAAAAAGTAACTCTTATCTGTAGCAAGCCCATTTGCACAATTTAAAGTCAGGCTCTCTCTAATGAGACCACCATCCACAGTTGCACAGACTGAAAATTTGCTTTTGATACTGTATTTTCTCCAAGTCCATAACCCTAATCATTCTAATAAATATGATTTGTGTTCAGACCATCAATTTATTATTCTGCAGGATGCTTCTTCTGCTTCTGTGCTGTTCTGGTTTTATTTGTTGAATTTACTTTGGAGCAAAGGTCCAACATAAATAAATAACATGAAATACAGTGTTCCTCTCTTATTAGATTTTTGGCCCTCTGGAACTCAAAAAATAAAATTATATTATTATTACATTTCTTATCTTTCTAATGGTTTATTAAGCCAAGCAAAGGAATACGTAGGAACAAACTTCTCTCGATGTTTAGACATGTCCTGCAAAAAAGAAAAACAAAGCATCCAGCAATATAACATAAAGACTTAAAATCACCTCAGTGGAACTGCCTACCTCTGTAATCTAGGACAGTTATCAGGGAAAGGTTCTGCTTAACTTTAATTCTCATTTTCTCTTCCCTGCTTTGACTACTGGTCATGTTTGGCTTGTGAGATTCCCTGGGATGATGACTGTGTTATATGTTTTACTTTGTTTTCACACTGGCCAGTAGATCAGGTCTTTATCCTTGAGAAAGGTCACTGGGCACAACTGCAATGAATCCAAACATCACTGTCAAGCATCCTAAAGTCATTTTCCTCTCTGCCATAGGCAGCTCTTCCTGTCTCTAATTTGAAAATAGGAACAGAGGGTAATGTAATAAAACTGCCTGTATGAAACATCTTACGTGCCTTACAAGGAATGATGGAAGTTGATTCCATATTTCCTGATTTTTTCATGTTGGCCTTATTCCATACTGGGGATGGCAAGCTGTCCTTCTGGTACACCAGAATTTGCCCACATGACTACCCTTTCCCAGAAGGGTTTTCTCAGGTTTCTGTCTCCGCTGATTTGGAAAAGAACTTGACAGGTGAGATTCAGGGATTAAAATCCTTTTGGAAAGTTACCCACAGTGAATTTCTCAGAATCACAGAATGGGTTGGGTTGGAAAGGACTTTAAAGACCACCTAGTTCCAAGCCCCTGCCTTCCACTAAACCAGGTTGCTCAAATGCCCATCCAACCTGGCCTTAAACACTTCCAGGGATGGGACACTTAAGTTGCTGCAGCTGCAAATAGGGGTTTTTTTTATGTGCTTACAGCATTTGCACCCAATTCACCTGCACTAAAATGGAGACTTTAGCACAGTGATTTCCTCTTAGAGCTCAAGAAAGGTCACTGTAGACAAACACAGAACTATTTTATGCTACCACAACCTTGCCCAGAGCTCTTAAATGGTCCAGAAAAACAGTAGTGTTTCATACTCCTGTTGGAAGCAGAGTCTGACTTCTCCGGCGTCCACTGCAAGTCCAGGAATGCAGTAACTGATTTTAAGGTGTGCTCTGCACAGATGGGGATTATAAAGAGTTAGAAGGAGTCAAGTGCACAGCTCCCTCCAGTGTAAATGCACTTTCTTAGTTTATCCTTTCAGACATATCTCAGACTTGTAGAGGTTTCTGTGCAAGAAAAATGGGAGGGAGGTACTGCTTTTCCATAAGAGCATTAACTTCAGAAGCCAAAGAACACACAAGTGAGAGTAATAAATACATGTATTAACCTTTCCAAGAGAATGAAATGCAGCAAAGGCCTAATGTTTACAGCTAAATGCTCTTCCCTACACTTAAGGCAAAATTTCAATTTCATTGAAAGATGTAGAGAAATCAATTTTATGTGTAGTCAAGATTTCACTCCTATTTCTTTTCTCCAATATCTTCACACAAAAATAAAAATCTAATCCAAATAGTCCTTATTTGAGGTAAAAGTATCTCAGCTTTGAGATTCTGGAAAGGCCTCACTATCATATTTTGTAAACACATCCTGAGAAAAAATTTGTTAGAAAATTCCATTAAAAAAAATTTACATTTAGCTGTGACTATTAATTTAACAGTAAATTGAAGTACATCACTCTTTAAAGCACATGAGTTTAGAGCTATGCCTAAGCATAAAATCACACTGAAATCTGGAGCTCAGAATAATACTTCATATGTTTCATAGGGTAGGACCAAACAGCCACCAAGAATGGTGGCCCTGGTGCCATGTAATGTACAATTGCAAACCAAAAAATGTGACCCCACAAAAACCCCACAGAATTATTTCCATATTCTCTTTCCTGAATCCAGAAAATAAAAATTGAAGTAAAAATACACCAAGTATTAGTGAAGAAAATAAAATCATGTTGCAGGGGGCAACTCCTGCACAGAACATTATTACAGACTTTTCCACAACTCCCTAAATTAGCCTGAACCTCTGCAGCTTTAGCAAGATGCTGCAATTTAGAAAGTTATTCAATAATTGCACATGCACAAACCTTCATTTGCCTCCCCTGTGCTCATGCATTATGATGAAGCCTTTAATTATAAGTGAACATGTATTATTATTTTTACAGGTTTCACAACTCAATGCACAGAGAGAATGAGGCACACTGGGCAAACCTCTGAATATATTTCCTGCTAGCTGCACCCTGTATTGCACTCAGTATAACCTTGCTCCATACTTCAAAACCCTGCTGGGAAATAAGACCATTGGTTTCCTCACTCCCAACGTGACAAATCCCTGCACACTTCACAGACACACACAAATTCCTTTTCATAAATCTGCTGTGACATCAGAGCAGTCCCGGATTTATTTTACTGAGGGAGGAACCAAGGCTGAAAGGACTGGATCAAAAGAACAATTTAATTTTTGACGTCTCAGAATAAGGACACTATATTTCACTTTTCTATTCTCAAGGTTTTTATCAGTCCACAGCACAGCTCTCTCTGGCTCTGGCTGCAGCTAGAAGTGATGAGCACTTCTGCCTTGCACAAGACTGTCCCATTTCCTCCCACATAAACACCCACTCCTTCTCCTCCCTGGGCCATCAAGGAGGAAAGTAAGGCAGCTCTGCTCTTCCAGCCCCCTGACAGTCCTTGGGAAGAAACTTTCTCTAGGGAAGTCCAGTCAAGACCCTCCACTTTAAGCAGAATCAGAGCTGGGAGAATCTGGGAAGTCAGCTGCCAAATTTCAATGAGTTTCTTGTAGCAGGCCAGAATTTTCCAAAATTCATAATTTCTTCACCTATGAAAACTTCTACAGGAACATCAAATTAAATATCTCGGACATAAAGGCAATACTTCTTAC